CAGACAGAGCCTCCTACTGTTAACCCTTCGCGCGCTGAAGACTAATGAGGCTCAATGAAGAGTACATATGCTAACATTTTTAAATATATGTACATTATATATATATATATATATATATAGACATCTTATAAAGCTGAATATATAAAAATAGAACTATTTAGTAATTATTTTGTTGCATGTCGTTAAGTGGCATATTCAGCAGTGAAAAATTTGCCTACCCTTTAAAGTCAATTAAAAATAACCATGAGGTTTGTTGTCATATAATAAATATATGAATACAAAACTAAAAACTAAGTATAAATAAAATTAATAACCTTTTTATTTATGAGCTGGGCGGCACGGTGCCTCAGTGGTTAGCAGTGTTGCTGTTTCGCATCACAGCAAGAAGGTCCCCGGTTCGAATCCCAGCTGGGCCAGGAGGCATTTCAGTTTGGAGTTTGCATGTTTTCCCCATGTTGATGTGGGATTCCTCCAGGTGCTCCGGATTTCCCTAACAGTTCAAAGACATGCAGTATAGGTGAATTGAATAAACTAAATTTCCGTAGTGTATGAGTGTGGGTGTGAATGAGTGTGTATGGGTGTTTTCCAATACTGGGAAGCGGCTGGAAGGGCATCCACTGCGTATAACATATGTCCGAATAGTTGGCAGTTCATTCAGCTGTGGAAATCTCTGAAATGGAGAATAATGAATGAATGAATTTTTGTGAGTTTTTAGTGTTTCATTTCTTTAGTCTCAACTGTGGCAGCTTTCACCATATAGTTTAATCCACTTATAAACAAATATAAGGACTTGTCACAAAATGAATGTTTTATATGCATAAACATTGGCAAAAGTCTGTTGGCAAAATCCATATATGTAGTCCTAACTGCTATTGAGGGAACAAATGTCTTATTAATGCATTTATGCAATTAAACAATGCTAATTCAACATCTTTTGTAGCCGAGGCGTGATGACTACTGTTAACCAGAAGCTGAACACTGAATCACAGCATGTATTGTTCATTTTGGCGGATTCCCAAGCTGATCTGTTAATGTGTAATGACTGGAATTCACTGGACGTTTCGACAGAACAACATTCGCTGCTGGACACTCATTTAGCTGATTTCAGCCACTGACACACTCACTCCACCCTAGAAGTTCTGTCATGAAACTCTATTTGTCATGGAACCTGATAAATAGGCCCTCACGGAATCTGCGCGCGCAGAATTCCGCAGATTTCTGCAGATTTCTGCAGTTTTTTTAGCCCATTATAAATTCTGTTTATTTACTTGAGTAAATGTGTAAATCAGAATTTATTCAGTTTTTATTCAGTAATTTATTACTTTTTATTTAATATATCAAAGTGTAAGTTATGATACTCCGCTGGATACTCCCAAAATAATTCCAAAGAAATCCGCAGATTTTTACAAAAATTCTCCGCAGAAATAGCAAAAAACGTCCGCAGATTCCGTCTGGCCCTACTGATAAGTCCTATCCAATCAGCTTTCAACCACTGTACATAGGCGCAGGTGATTGGTTGCTGTTGCTTCAGCAGCCAACGAGCTTGTTCCTCAACATTTAAATACCTCAATTAGTCAGCTTTAGGATTTGGTGGGAAAAAAGTAAGATTTGTCCAACTAACCTCAACTGATATTATAGCGGGTTTTTGCTAATTTTGTCAAAATATCTGTCATTTATTCTTCTGTTATTGTTTTGCTTTGAAAATATACACAAATTTTGACCTCAAAAACCACTGATTTCTGTAATTTATATAAAGGAAACACTGAGGGAAACAGAGAGAAGCTAGAGTTGAGCCTAAAGGCTACTGTATCATATTTGAAACTGAAACCAATAGTTTGAAAATAAATGCTGAGTTATTCATCTTAGTTTACAATGTCTGTGTTATTTGAACATGTTGATGGAAAGATGCAGAACGACGTGTGTGCTTGTGTGTGAGATAGATAGAGAAAGAAGTCTACACTGGCTACACTTATGACAGATGCATACATGCAATATCTAGAAGTTAGGGATTGATACAACGATTCATCGCAAAAAGGCTTGAATTAACTCTAAAACAAATACATCAAATAATCATTGGAAAAGTTCCTATTGAAGTATTTCTCACACACGTAATGTGAGATCCGCTTCCTTCATCTGTCTTGTTTATCTAACACAGCCGAGGCGGAGACGGAGGCACACTCTGACAGGCACGCGGGAACGGTGGGCAGGGAGAACCAGCATTAAAGGCACAGGCCACAAAAACAGCTACATAGTGTTTAAAGCAGAAAATCCTGACATTCTTGAAGGTATAACAAATAATCTGATTGAGTGTTTTGAGCTGAAACTTTACAGACATATTCAGAAGACACAAAAGACTTATCGTAAAAAATGGGGTAAAATACATGCCCTTTATTTCTCTTTATATTATTTCTTAAACAATATATTGTCTCAAACTACTAAAATGTCGATTAAAGCGACTTTGCTTATCTGCAGTGTAAAATTTCAGGATCAAAAGTTGACAGAGCAGAGATCAAGATCTAATAATGCAATTCACAACTATACATAAACAGAAAACACCCTGTGAACCACAAAATACAGAATATATGTTATTTTCTGCATGTATATTACCAAGCTTTTGGTGTTTAAATAGTTGAAGAATTTTGAATGATTGTTTGTATGTTTATGTTTGTTGTCATTATTTTATTTATAATGTAATTTTGTGTTTTTATTACTCATGGGTGGGACTTTTTATTCATTCTAGATGTGTCCAGGCATATTTGCAAAGCAGGCACATACTAGTCTCCTATAACGACAAGTTTTGCAGTAATGCCCAAACTAATCTATGGACCCCTCCCTAAAAAACTCAAAATGCTGATGATTGGCTATTTTTACCGGAAGATGGCTTCCTTAACTCTGGCAGGCCAAATGTGTGTTGCACATTTCCCCATTTACACTTACCGGCCACTTTATTAGGTACACCTGTCCAACAGCATGTTAACACAAATTTCTAATCAGTCAATCACAAGAGAGCAACTCAATGCATTTAGGCATGTAGACATGGCCAAGACGATCTGCAGCAATTCAAAGCAGCATCAGAATGGGGAAGAAAGGTGGTTTAAGTGACTTTGAATGTTGTTGGTGCCAGACGGGCTAGTCTGAGTATTTCAGAAACTGCTGATCTACCGAGATTTTCACTCACAACCATCGCTAGGATTAACAGAGAATGGTCCAAAAAAGAGAAAATATCCAGTGTGCGGCCGTTCTGTGGGCACAAATGCTTTGTTGATGCCAGAAGTCAGATGAGAATGGCCAGACTGGCTCGAGCTTATAGAAAGACAACAGTAACTTAAATAACCACTCGTTACAACAGAAGTATGCAGAAGAGCATCTCTGAACACACAACACATCCAACCTTGAGGCGGATGGGCTACAGCAGCAGAAGTCCACACTGGGTGCCATTCCTATAAGCTAGGAACAGGAAATTGAGGCTACAATTCACACAGGCTCACCAAAATTGGACAGTAAAAGATTGGAAAAACGTTGCCTGGTCTGATGAGTCTTGATTTCTGCTGCAACATTCCGATGGTAGGGTCACATTTTTTGTCATCAACAACATGATAACAAGGATCTATCCTGCCATGTACCAACAATTCAGGCTGGTGGTGATGGTGTAACGGATATTTTCTTGGCAGCAGGATTACTTCCACCAGAATAACATGCCAAGTCACAATGCGTGAATCATCTCGGACTGGTTTCTTAAACATGACAATGAGTTCACTGTACTCAAATGGCCTCTATACACTCACCAGAGCTCAATCCAATAGAGCACCTTTGGGATGTGGTGGAAAAGGAGATTCGCATCATGGATGTGCAGCCGACAAATCTGCAGCAACTGTGTGACGCTATCATGCCAATATGGACCAAAATCTTTGAGGAATACTTCCAATACCTTGTTGAATCTATGCCACGAAGGATTAAAGCAGTTCTGAAGGCAATAGGGGGTCCAACCCGGTTCAAGTAAGGTGTACCTAATAGAGTGGCCAGTGAGTGTATATATGTTTCAGAATGGGGGTTGTATTTACCTACTCTACTGTATGTGTGGATGGAGTAACCTGATAATAGTGAAATACAATTTATTCAAAGCATCGATAGCAAAAGTGAGACTTGCTGAACATCACAGCAGAAGCCTGAACTCTTCCTCCAGTGTCAGTATGAGCACATAGCACATTTACGTTTTGATGCGACCTATCACTTCAGCTTCAGGGATTTGACATCTGCTCGCTCGGAGGTATGTCAGAACCTCAGTACACCAGATTAATTGCAAAAATGGTGGTAAACGCAACCCGTTTACATCATAACTCGAGCTGGCAGCGTCTGGCGCTTCCAAATGGATCTCCATTTAATTAAGTAATATGCTTGTCATTTCATTTTCATGTGCATTAACCCCCTGTAAAATACAATGCTGGAACGACAATAAGCTCCTTAAGGCTGATACAATAACAGTAATCTCTGGAAAGTTGTTTTTATAAACTGTGCCGTATGGTCACTTTCAATTTTCAAAACACCTAAGTAATGATTACGAGCTCGCAGACATATGTTCTGTCTAATGGGAGAGAATCAGAACAGAAAAACAGCTTAAATATTAAACTGAGCAGAAGTAATTCAGGAAAAAAAGAAAACTGTGGCCTGGTTCTCTTTTATGTGAAGTGTATTATTTTTATCTAATATAATGATGGTAACGTTTATGTTAATTTGATAAAATTGTGACCTTTATTTGTCTAAATCATGGGAATAGTTATAATGAAATACAATTATATTATATTATATTATATTATATTATATTATATTATATTATATTATATTATATTATATTATATTATATTATATTATATTATTCATTTTCTTTTCAGCTTAAACCCTTTATTAATCTGGGTTTACCACAGCGGAACAAACCGCCAAAATATCCAGCACATGTTTTACACAGCGGATGCCCTTCCAGCCGCAACCCAACACTAGAAAGC